ACAACAAAAAAACACCACAACTAGCACAACATGTAAACAAAGGAATGTGGGTATAGTGGTACAAGTCATGTCAAAAAGAGAAGAGAAGCTAAATATTGGAGGATGAATTAGAACTGAATGCAGGCAAATAACAGGAGTTGTTACAGACGAGGAATAAAGCTGATTTTCTAGTTCCAAATCTCATGAGGTTTTCATTTTTGGTTGTGGGTAAGTGTATGAATTATAATTAGTAGTGGAAGTATAACATTAAGTGTGAAGCTCCACAGCTTCTACTTTGCATTCCTAACTGTATAGAACTTCCTTGAACTATATAGTCTGGGTCTGGCAAATGTTAGGTGTGGTGGTTTTTTATTTGTTAATCTTTGTAAAGTTTAAAACAAAAAAAATAATAAAATAAAATGCAAAGGTCAGATTGTTTCTATTTCCCTAGCACTGGTGTTTGGGAAATTTGTCATCACCTCCTTTCCCTATTTCCTGTTCTCTCACCATCTCTACCTTATTCCATGAGACTCCATTCCCAGAAATTTCCGCAGGACTTACAGAACTTTCAGGATACCTAGTGAGCATAGATTTTGTGAATGTTTATTCTCAGATCTTTGATTAGTGAAGGAAAATCCAGTGCAGTGAGGATAGTTAGCAACCCTTGTGGATGCTGAAATACCTCTAGACCATATGTTAATTTAGGGTTCAGGACTCAGTCATTACACTTGGCAGACAGACCCTTAGTAACTTAAGATGTAAACAATCAAGAAAAATAAATCAACAACAGCAACAGCAGCAGCAAACAAAACTGAACAGGTCCTTTGAGATCTGCATCACCCCTGCTTGGCTGCCAGGGCAATAGAAGACCGTTTATCCTCTGATAGTCCAATAATAGGCAGAAGCTGGCTGTATTTCACATCAATAATTGGAAAGAATAAAACATGACTATATCAAAAATATATGCATTCATTCATAGTTTTGGGGGGTTCATATTTAATATATATTTGCTAATACACACATACAAAGTAAATAGTAATAATCTGATTATAAATTATTCAACACCCCTGCAAAAAGAAAACAAAACAAAAAATAAAAAAGAAAGAAAGGAAAAAAAGAAAAGCAAATACAGAAAGAAAGCAGGCCTTCAGCCATCCCCTACCTAGTCTGGTAGGGAAAAGGCATAGATCGGCAGTTAAACTGGGAGCAGAATTAGTGCTGTGGTGGTTCTCAGTACATTGTCATTGGTGAGGAGGTTGGCTATCCACAATCAGAGTCAACAGAGGTGAACTGGGTTCACTAACCCAATGCACTGTGTTGAGAAAACACCCGCCCCAGACTCTGTGGCTGTCTTTGAAGGGAAGGGAACCTTCTGTCTTGGGTGGGCACACTGCTGGGGATGGCCCATAATAGAAGCTGGGATAGTTTGGGAACAGTCAACGCACTAGTATTCTCTTACTCACTTCTTTTCTGAGTTGTAAATTAAGATTCCCTCCCTTTTAATATTGAGGTGGTCTCTAATAATATCATTTTTTCACACTGAGAATTTAATATTTTAGTATTAGGGCTGAGGCTGTCTCAGTAACTGCTAGAAGACTAATTAAGTTCAACCCATTGTTCTGCTTATTTTTATTGCCCGTATTTGCAAGTCAGAATATTTGGATGAGGTTTGTTGTTTGATAGCAATTATTATGCTTTTGTCCGAGAAGTGATACTTGATAAATTCAAAAGTGCATTTGGTTCTAGACAATTTTTCAGAACCAAATTCCTCCTCACTTTTTGTATTATATGAAATCCATTCCATATTTTCAACTGAGAAAACTAATCTTTTTCAACATATTGAAACTGCTATGTGATAGAGAAGTATAATATGTTCAGTTAGATTTAGCACACTTGTGTTCACCTCTGCACAGAGAATTTATCTGTAATTTAAACAAGAGGACTGCTGAAGACAGAGAAGTTCCAGAAATTCAGTATTAGCTAAATATGGAGTGAGACGGTCCAATTTACAAGTGGAGAGACGTCATCCTCTTTAAAGATAATAAGTCTCCTTGCTTTTAATTTGAGAATCTCAAAGAGCGTTTCAAGCTCAGTTATTTAGAAAGATGACAGCACATTAAATTTTAGCTTGGGTAAATATAGTGATGAATTAAAATTAAACTCTGCATTTGAGTAGAGTCTGCGATTCATTTCAAAGCATCTTCCTTCTGATTCTGGGGGGAAAAAGCAAGATTACAATTCATATTCATTGTATAGAATTGAAAGTGAAAAGTAGAGAGAATACAAAACAACGTTTGTTATGCCATAAGCTCTGGGCAACCTCTATTTGTATATATCCCTATAGAAAAGCAGCACCATGCTGTAAGCATTCCGAGAAGTCTGCCCTTCTTCTCCTCCACTTGGTAACATACTTGTTCTTCCTATTCTACCCCAAATAGTCCATGACTCACACTCTCTCACTCCATTTAAGTTTTTCCCCAAATGCCATTTTAGTGAGGCATTTCTCAATCCTGTTCTTTAAAACCACAGCATCCCACCATCAACCCACCAATTCCCTTCTTACTCTTTCTTCCAAGTTTGCATTACCACTCGACATCCAGCTCACACTAGCTGTTTGTGTCCTTGGTATCACCCCTTTCCTAATACACTGTAAGTTCTATGTGGGCAACATTTTCCATTTTTCTTGTATGTTTAATTTGTCTGTGCAGAAGTTCTCAACCTGGGTCTTGAATGACCCTCTCTCAGGGGTTGCAGCTCAGATATATTGTATACCCGATATTTACATTACAATTCATAATAGCAGTAAAATTACCATTATGAAGGAGTCATGAAAATAATTTATGGTTGGGATTCCCCAGTCCATGAGGAGCTGTATGAAAGGGTTGCAGCACATTAGGAGTGTTGAGAAACATTGCTCTAGAGTAGTGCCTGGTGCATAGAGGGTAGACTGAATGTATAGATGACAGAGCAGATGATCACCCTCAGCTTGATGGCTCTGTGCAGTGTCTTTGTAAGCAGTGCTGTCCTGATGAGCCGTCAGATGCTTTTTGTATTGCGTTGTGTTGAAGATTCAAACTGGACTTTGTTGCGTGTGGTTTTTGTTACTTTGTCACAGGATAAATTATTGAATGTGGATACGCCTGAGTTAAGGCATGTAAATATTTTTAAGGATTTCACACCCTTTGCAATGGAAAGTTTTAAAGGAAGGAATATTCCTTTAAAGGTAGGACTATTCATGGCTCTTTATGTTCTTATGAGTACTGTGTTTCATCTGTATTTTAACACTTACATATATGATATTTCTAATTAATGGTTGGTAGTTGTAAGAACTTATGTAATCATGTCACATGTTAATTTTTGATAATACATATGTGAAAGTAGGAGTTAAACGGGCTAATTGGCATATTTTCACCTGAGATATGTTTTTCACTAGTTTATTTTAACCTTAGTATTTTCCTAAGTGAAAATTTTCCTCAAAACATGCCCTTAGTTGCACAGTCCAGCTTGTTAAAAGCAGCTTATCATTTTCCCTCTCTAAGGAATTCATTGTCCAGTTTCTCCAAGATAACACATGTATGCTTATTGTGTGTGTGGCATTGAGTATGTTTGTCTATTAGATATTCACCTATATGTCAGAACTGTCATTATTCTTAGACTGATTTCAAAAAGTTGTCTGAGTTCTTCCTTCCAGACTTTCTCAGTTCCAGCAGTTCAAAGAAACACTTATTTTGTCCAATCCCGAGGGCTCTCCCTGAATCAAATCTACATGAGAAAGTTTGGGCACCTACAGTTTTAGGTGGCCTTCTTGGGGATTCCACTTGTGTGGCTTTAGTGATAGTGGAGTTGTTAGAAGTTTTGAAGATGTATGTCTGCAAGGATAAGGATTAAGCATGCTTAGAAAATTGTCACTCAAGAGAGTCAGTGATGTAGGAAATACCTTACCTGGTTTTGGAGCTTCTCTTATCCTGGGGCTCTTATGCAGGAATAGAAGATGCTTGGTAAAATAGTTCATGGAAACTTGAAGTATGGTTTTAAGAGGTGATACCACTGGAACTACTTGGGCTTTTTAGAAATTCAAATCATTGTTCCCCAGACAGAACTCCTAAGTCACACCCCTGACAGGGTCATCCAGCAGTCTGCATTTTCTAGTACCTCTCAGAGGTCCAGATGAACTGTGAGGTTTGAGAAGTGTTTTCATACAGGGTGACTGTATGACTGGGAGGGAGATAAGAAAATCAACCCACTGCCAGCTGCTGAAGGACAACCTACTAGATTGGTGGTACCAGAAACAGTGTCCTCAGCTGCTGAGTGTGACATTCTTGTTGGCTGGAGAGGTTGGTAACATTCTTGTTTCCTTTATGGTGTATTGTACTCATATATCTGAGTCCTCTGCTTTGTGGTCAAATGTCCAATCATCTGCTCTGTGGTCATTAGTCTGCATAATGAAAGTTAAATTCCTTCCTGTGTGTGAATCACATTGTCCTTTATCAACTAGCTAGTTTTTCTTATACTGTTGTTTCCAATCCTGTGTTATTGCTTTGTTGAAGTTGATTTTCGTCAACATGACTTGCATGCTGATATTCCCCTGCCTTGCTGCCAGTAGTAGGCTTTTTGTCCAGGTCATACCTACCTGGACATAAGCTTTGTTTTAGTTAACTTCCAAAAGTTTGTCCTCATGAATTGAACTTATTGTTATCCTTGCGTATATACAAGTCTTTTCTTACTCTGCTTGAACAGGATTTTATTAAGGCCAGCTATTTCAGTGTCCCTCATACCCATCCCTTTCTTTGACCCTTCTACACTAGCTTTTATGACATTTTGAAATATGAAACCTGGCCTTTTGTCCTATGAAAGCTAAGGCTATTATTTAAAGCATAGTTAGCTAAGGGTGGCAAATATTTTATAAAAGGCAAGCAATTGTGTCTAAAACAATTACAATAAGTTGTTGGCAAATGTATCTTTCAAAGAGTACTATGAAACAGCACACTTGTTAACATTTTGTATGTATTTCCTTTCTGTAGGTGACTTTCTCCCGCCCCCACCTCCACCCTTAGATGACCCTGGAACCCTTCCACCTGGACCTGGAAACTTCCCTCCACCTCCACCACTGGATGAAGGCACTTTCAAAGTGCAGGTAAGAACAGTGGTAGAAGTCAGGGTTATAACATGTGATAGGAATCCTGGGAAATTCAGTGATGCTTTCTGTGTTTATGAGCATTTACCCAGAGTATTTCCCCAGCTTTGCAGCTTACAAGGATTTAGCACACTTTAGTGCTAAATGTCCAAACCATGCTTCTCAGAGTTCTGCTGGCTTACACTCTTAAGCCATGGAAAGATTTTTACCTACTAAGTTCATCTTACACTCTTAAGCCATGGAAAGATTTTTACCTACTAAGTTCATTTTAGAACCAAGATGGTTTTTTTTTTTTTTTTTTTTTTTTTTGAAGTGCTATTTGAAAAGTCTACACGTTTTTCCCTCTTTCCATAAGTTTTGTATTTTATATAAATAAGAATAATATTTAAGGCTCTGCTTGTTCAGTGTGGGCCCTCACTGGCAGCGACATTGTTTTCACGAGACAAATAGTAAGACACCATAGGGCCTTATCTTCTAGGTGTTCAAAGATGAATGTTAGGTGTGTATCAGTGATATGTGAGCACTACGTTCTGCAGAATACAGACTCTTAACTCCAGTTCGATGCAGAAGCGGCAAGAAAAATATTTTTGCGGTGAGGTCAGTACCTCCAGTTAAAGCTGAAGACACCATGCCATGATAGAAAAATTATAAATTTATGTAGATTGCCATTCTCAGATAAAGTGACATGAGTGTAGATGTACTGATAACAATTGAGAACTTGCTTAGATAAATCCTGATTTTTCAGGTAAGATGGAATCAAATATCAGAACCTGTGAGCTACAACCAGAGCATTCACCCTGTGTTGATGCTGGTGACTATGGTGCGGTTTATTCTGTTATTCTGGCTGCCTTTGTATGTGTTCGCAATGTTCCAAGAACGGTTAGGGTCAGATCTGCTGTCCTTTCTCTTCAAGTATACTTTGGGAGAACAAAGCAAAGATTATTCAACTATTTCCCAAATAATCTTTGTTCCTATATAGATAATATCTGAGTAATGGGATATCCTGAGACATGAAAGGAAGGCAGAGTTTGCACATGTTATAACTTGTAAGTAAACAGAGGACAAGCCCTGTGCATTCGGGTGGGGGATGTGGTAGGGGAAGCAGACACAAGGTGACTTTGGTGAGTGGAACCTCCTCAGGATAGTACCATACTTAAACAAAGGTTTAAAGGACAGGTGGATTCTCGCGGAGTATATTTTAATGTGTTTTCATCATGTTTCAGTAAAATATTCTTGCCTGCTTTTTATATACTGTTGTTTTCTATTGGATGCTTCTTTATGTGTTGTTAATGGACATGATTTTATAATTCTCTTTTGCTTTCTTTCCTGGATTACTAGTAAATATATTATGCTATATTTGGGATATTTCACTCCAAGGATTGGCTGAAAGTCTGCAGTTTGAAAAGTAGTTCAGAGTGTATTCTGAGTTAGGGAATATGGGCAGATCACACAGAGTCCTAGTTAGTTGTCCTTTACAAAGAAAGTAGCCGTACCTCCTTAAAAGTTGATAACATACCAGTGTTTCTCAACGTACTCATTGATATAACTAGATGATATTTTGATATTTCTGCTGATATTATGGAATACAAATAATAGCAATGATACTAATGGGATTATCAGATACTATGTGCAGCTGATACTAATAATCCTATGGGAAGCTACTAATCAGAGTAACAGTAAAGTTTTGTTCATGGGTTCCAATTACAAATCATCCAACCCATGAATATAGGATCTTTATACCAATTACTCCTTGCTTTACTTTTATCTGTGTTGGAATAGTTTCATTGTGAATAGTCTTCACATCATTAAAAATTGTATATCAACTTATTCATGTTTTTGTTGCTTCTATGAATGTGACTTCTTTTTTGAATTCTTTTTCACTGTTGACTGCTTACATAAATAACCTATTTACCTTTATATGTTGGTTTTATATTGTGCAATTTTATGGAATTTATGTATTAATTTAATAATATTTTCTAGAGTCTTGGTTTTGTCCGTGTGTGTTCACTTTGTCTGAAAACAGGCACAATTCCTTTTCCTTCTTTTCCAGTTTAGACTGCTTTTAATTCTTTGTCTTGTCTAATTGCCCTGGCTAGGACTGCCAGTACTGTGTTGAATAGTATCAGTGAAAGTGGTCTCCTTGTCCTGTTCATGGGGCTTTCATGAAAATTACAAAAAGTCTCTTTCTATGTGGACTTTGTTCTGATAAATGTACTCAAGCCATGGCTTTGTTTTTGAAGAGGAAGGAAATAAACAAGAAGTCTGTTGCCATGTTGGCTTATGTTCTCTGTAAAACAGAAGGGAGGATGATAAAAAATAAAGCAGTGTTTGCCAAATGGAAAAGGACAAATCTGGTAGGGAGAGGGTGTTGTTTTTGAAGCTCTTCATATGACATTCTTGGTAACTTAAAAATGATGCCTGTGTCCTTACGGGCAGGAGTGGTAGTGACTGCCCCTACTCTGGTTGGGCATCAGCACCTTTACGTAGAGGTCATTGTAGCTGATGCAGTGTCATCACTGAGGACAAGTTTGCATTTTTCCCTCTCAACTCTGGTAAAGCCTCATCTTGCCAATTCCAGCTCATAGCTGGTAGATGTGTGTTTTATGTAGAAGTCTGTTTATATTCCCAGCCAGATTTTCAGCTCCGAGCCAGAAGGCTGTCTACTACTAAGTATGGCTATTGCAAGATACTCAGGGCTGAAAGGTGGTCATTGAATCTAACCCTGGGGACAGATTTTTAGAATATAGCACTTTCAAACATCCACTGAGGTGTTTAATTCCCGACCCGCTTTGGAAATGGGGAGACTGAGACCCAAAGAGATATTTGTAGATACCCTGGTTCTGACAGAACTGTTACCTGGCCATAACCCCCCCACCACCACTAGTGATTGTTTTTGTGCTCTACTCAGCTTGTCCTAGTCCTCTATTCAGCTGTAAGGCTCTCTGCTGACGAATAGGGGGTTGCATGTTGTATCTGGTAAGAACAGGTGTTGCTGGAGTTTAGCTTGGCTTGCTGAAATTTTGATATATGCTATATAAACTTCCATACAAAAGCAAATAAATATTTACTGCAGAAAAGTATTCTTGTTTTGAGAATTCACATTTTTCATGGAAAGATGAATCAGAATGCAAATGGAAGATTTGGTTTGCTTTCTTTTCATTTTCTTCATTTGTAACCTTTCTGACTGCAAAGTTCACACTGGCCCTTGGCAGTCCCTGTATTAATTTGTTCCTTCCTCATTCTAGATTTAATAAATACACTCAGTAGGTAGACACATTATGCTACAGAACTTTCTGCTTCAGAACTTGGCCTCCTCATTCTGGCATTCTGGGTGTTCAAGCTTGGCACTATGCTCTCAGTTGATGTCACAGTCTGTAAATCTCTTTTCAGTCAGTCAGCCCATGAGCAGATACACAGTATTGCTTATCACTTGGACAAGAGGACAGAATATCTTTTTAAAGGTATTTTAAAATATGTTTTAACTACTCTTGTTTTCCAGAAAATTAGACATCATACACTTTACTCCTTACTATTCTTTTAATTGGTATTTGTTTTAATTTTATGTAAAAAAAAAAAAAAGGACACAAATACAGTGAGGCAATGGGTATAGATAAGGAGAGAGATTAGATGTAACACACACACACACACACACTCACACACACACAAACACAGGGCAAACCACATGCTTAGATTTCTAAGTTGCTTGGTAGCTTCTCAAGATCCACCTGGCTCTCTGTGTGGTCCTTTGGCTGATCTTTTCATGACCTCCAGGAAACCACCCTTGGCTTGACCTGGCTTGTGGTCTGACTCTGCAGCTTGCTTCTCCTTGCCTAGTGTGCAGAAGATACAGGTCTTGGGTTGTCCTTTCCCTATTTGTATTTGCTCAGGCTTGATGCTTACATTTGCTTGTATCAATTCAATCTTTCCACTGCAAATAAATTTTTTTATCCAAAAATGATTGGCTCAACTCTTAAAATTTTCATATTCAGATACAATCTTTCCATTTAACATTTATTTTTAGTGACTTTCTTCCTATACTATTGGAGAATAATGTACAAAGGGACAGTTGAGACTGGATGTGGGCAGGGGAGAAGGGGGGCAGTGTAACACAAAGAGCTGAGCAGCAAAGTTATGGAGATAGGCTGGCATCTAAGGATTAATTGAACACAGTCGCATGAACTAGGCATAGATTGAGTGTGCACTGAAAAAGAAGAAGAGAAAAAAACCCCAATTCCTGCAAATGAGATTACAAACTCGACTCTTAAAAAGAATTTAAAACCAGTATATGTGCATGGTAGCTGATAATCACTTTCCTATTTGCCCATTTTACACTATTTTAGGCATGATGAGCTCAGGTCCATAACCATGGTCACCTTCCTTTGTGAGCCCATTGGTGTAGTCTGGATGAATCTTATTACAGATGTTTCCTTTACCTCTGTCCATCAGTATGATGAGGGAGGAGGGCAAAGATTCAGAAGCAGATCCAGAATGCTGATCCCAAGATGGTGATAGTGGGGTACATTGTAGGATCATGGATAGATTGACCAGAAGAAGTTCCAATCCATGCTAATCCACATGCCCTTTTCTTAGGGCATCGATTCAAGACATTTGACCCATGAAATTATATGTGAAGGCTCTTCTCTTTTGTCACCCTTCACTCTCTTCCTTTTTGGTCAATTGACTGTAATTGATTTGTAGGTAGTGGTCCTCCTGGCTGAAGAGGAGAAATAAGGAGGTGCCTGATTTAGTGATTTTTCTCCTCCCTGTATGTGTATGTTTGGAGAGAGAGAGAGAGAGAGAGAGAGAGAGAGAGAGAGAGAGAGAGAGAGAGAGAGAGAGAGAGAGAGAGAGAGAGAGAGAGCGCCAGCCAGAAGACAGACTGGTTTGTTCTTTGACAATTTTTGAATTTGGTCAATGTGATTTGCCAAAAGTGAATGCCAGACTTTGCCTGTTTGCTTTTTGTTCTGATTCAGCCTTTGGATTTTGGAAATTTGTTCTTG